TACTCGTATTTATGTATATACATATTGCAGAAAGGGCTGATAGATATGATAAACTTAGTCCCATAATAACAGATTTGATGTTTTGCTATTTTAAAATATATTAATATTATTAATTTTGAACAATTATCGCAAAATGTCTGAAAGTGGAAAAAGTCAAATAACAAAAATACCGAATTCCGATGAAAATTCAAAACGGAAAGTCCCTAATCAAATGGCAAAATCAAAAGCTCAAACACATCAAACGAATGGATAACAACTGTCATATTCCTGACTTGGTACAGGAAATGACTTTTTTTATTAGAAATACCTTCCTTTCGTTACACTTAAGACAAATTGAAGAATTTGAAATGAGCCCTTTACATATCATTATTGTTTTTCTATGTCTTCAATTAACGGGGACAGATTATTTTTATTTGCAAAGCTGGGTGACAATATAGAAACTATAGGAAAATAATGATGTGATATATGTGATACCAATTGTTTGTTCGTTTTTGGGTAGTTGTGATTTTTATTAACATTTTTCTTTTTTCCTCGTTTCAAAATTCTAATAGGGAACATGTATTATACTATCGTAGTAAATAGACCATCTTGTAAGACGTTTCGGCCACTGGCCTTCTTCAGATTCTTTATTATTCTTCTTAACTGCACGATAGACATTTTACTACGCAATCATTAAGATGTTATAGATTTAGTTCCTTGGTAATGTTATGATGTCACAATAACATGACGTCATCATATCTTTTTAGGAATGAAAGTCAAAGTGTATGAAATTAGATATATTAAAGTCATTCTTTTTTAATGTTGACTCTAAATGGCCTAATTGTATTTAGTTTTTTCATCCACTGAGCTTCAATATATCTTCTATAATTGGCAGATATTTCATATTTTTTTCTTTTTGACATAATAGGGGGTGTCAATTGTTTATGGAAGGCGCCACAATACTAAAGCTGAGGACGATTGGCGTGTAATGTTTACTTACAAAGTTATTGAAATCATTTTAACAGAATTGTGACTGAACTGAACACTTCAAAGACTTTGGGTATTTTACAATATTAAATGAAAGTGGCCAAATAATCTATCCTGAATAAAATATGAAAGGGACAACATGCCAACTCTCAGTGAAAAGTAATATGATATCAATATTTACATGAGCAATTGCATTTTATTATAAAATTTCAGAAATTATTATTAATATAACAGAATCAGAGGAGGCCATTTACTATATGGTAGGGGTAAAAATACTTATTATAATTTTGTTACGCATGCTATTTGAGTAGAACACTAAGTGGAGTAAAATGATAGCAACTAGGGTCGCAGGTGCTACCATTATTTATTTTTCATAATTCCGCAATTTAAAGCAGTGGAAGTAGGTAGTGCCACTGTATCTGACAGTGAGGTCAACAATTTATGACTAAGAAAGAATATTGCAATATTTGTGTTTACATAAGCTAGTAAATCAGGTTATAATAGAAATAAGAATTTCAAATATTATTATTTAAAAAAAATCATACTAAAGGAGACGGGTGATTTTTCATACAAGTGATTCAAATAAATTGCTGCAAAAATGTTTCATATCTATATAAACAATTAGTTATCAAAAAGTATATGCACTGGAGAAATTTAAACTAAATTAAGCATGTCAAGGACATATTACCTTTCAATTTCATCAAATTCTTTTTCAATAAGAATATGTATTTCTAAATCAATATAATAAAAAGGTCAGTTTGACTGACAAGAAAGATCATTGACGTTTCGTTTTTAAAATAATTACTGTTAGAAATAAAATTAAAAGAATCTAAATACTAAGGTTTTCTTCCCCTAGGGATAGATTGCATAAGCCGTATTTAGCACTTATGTTTTGTTTTTTTGGTTTTTTTTGCCTTTCTTTCCTAGTCCTAATGAATCTGCACTTTAAACTGTTTTGATTTTATTGCTACTAAAGCGTCTTATGAAGATGATACGCGTGTCTAGTGTGAACTTGTATGATTATGGTATCTTTGAACAGTTCTTTAATAGCAATATAATGACCTTCTGACGAAGAATTTTGTTGTGGTATTGTCTTAAAGTTATTCTATGAAAATACTGTTTATTTGTTCTGAGTGCATTGAAATAATTAAGCTGTCTGAAACTGATATTATCGGCTGATACGCCTTAATAATCAATCTCTTGTATTGTGTCAAAAATCTTCCTTTTTTTTTTGCAATGGACCAACCGAAAGCCTAAAGATTCATGAAACCCAGAAATGCAAGGTGATCCAATGACGTAAGCATTTTGTTCAGATAAGTTCATGTTGTTATGATGTACATGACATTCAAACAGTCTTCTGTCTATCTGAGAGTGGTATGATATCATTATCGCTGCCACTAATCAAAGATCTGAACAATTTCAACACAGTATCATTATATAGAGCGTCGTTTGTACGCAACACAACATGCACGTGCCTTAAGTGTAGAAGGCTGTTGATATGGCCAAAAGACTTTATCTGTACTTAACCGATTGAGTCCTATTCCAACTCGCAACAATTTTGAAAAAGCATGGATTCGCTTTTCGGGTAATACATGCACATCAATAAATGCTTACCCTATTGAAACATTTTGTATCGCTCCGTCTCGAGCATAATAGGATTCTTTCAAGTAATCATCTTGTCATTGGTTGTATTTTCGAATCAATTTACCAAAACACTGAAAAAATTTTGTTAACGCCAAGCAAGCAGCACTGCGAAATTTAAGCCAAACAGTTATTGATTGCACGTGGTGGTCTAGTACAATTAAGACAGGATTCCAATCTTCTCAAATCATTCAGTGTTTCCACCTCATCTGTATTGACATTGCGTGGCATTGAGATATATAACCACGAAATGTACTAAAGGCTTTTTTCATTACTACCGTGATGTAAAGATTAAAAACGTGTTATGTTAAAATACTTTGTCGTATATAATCTATAGTATAATTTGTTGATTCGTAAAGTCATAATACAGACAGACAGCAACATGCTCATGTTTAAATCAGGTTAATATCTGATGTTTTACTAACATTATATATGTGTGATTTCTTTTGGTGCACATTTTCCATTGTCGTTTTCAATTCGTATAAAGCTATATAAGATTTGTTTTTACCCAGATATATCCAGTGTTATGATCAATTGGTTGACATTTTTAAAGTAGAAATCACGTTATTGTTTTCTTTTTTTTTTTTTTTTTTTTGCCTCTTGAATTATTTTACATTTTGTCATACCGGGACCTTATAGATTACTAAATAGTATAGGGTAATGTTTAGCCTATTCTTAATGGCCGTACGGTACAAATACTTGTCAATATTCACATGTTTATCCTTTGGTCTATAAGTTAAGTTATCTCATTGAAATCCATACAATATCTGCTTATCTTATAAACATGTAAAACACTAATGTCTCTAATAATTCAATCCGAGAGCAAAAAACTCGTAAAAATGCATTCATTGATGTGTATGTCTGAATAAGGCAACAGTAGTCTACCGATGTTCAAAAAAATGATCAAGACAAATCAAGGAAACAAGCAAAAACCGAGAGAATCGCGTGACTTCAAAAAGAGCGAGATCAGCAGCATCGACATGTATCATCCGCTATGCAAATCCACCCTCAATCAAAATGTAACAATCGTGAATAGGACAAAATCGGTATAATAAAAGTTAAGACAACATTTCTAGATTCTAAAGATCGAAGACTGGGAAGATATGTAAAAAGTGAGTTCATTTAATTATTTGCACGTTTAATAAAGATAAAACTATTGCTCATTAAACCAACGTTAACTGTTTCTAATCTATATTAAGTATATTAATACTGATTTTTTTCGTTAAAGGGTTTTGTCAAAGCTAACGTAAAATAATTGAAAAAAAATAGTATAGCCTTATTGATTCTATCACGATTGGAATAAGTATACAAAGCTCGTTTGTAAGTTACACGGTTTCCCAACATGATTTACTGTTTAATTAGTTTGCTTGTATAGACTACACAAATGAACTGAAGAACCAGATCCAATGACATTAAACTGTTATTGCACTTTCCCAAACAAAAGTAAAGAGGTAAGTAAAGTCTTTAATGCTACTTATTAAAATCTAAAATTACCATATACCTGAAATTACAAAATGATTGAAACACGATCAGAAATCTTAAATTAATATATATATTTCGCTTTTTGCAAATATTTGGAAAAGCTACTGTATAATTCATTTAGAGGCCTTCACAATTAGTATAGAAATATAGAACGTGTTTATTTGTTCACTGAAAAGCGATTATAGCATAGATACATTGTGTGTTTATACTGTATATGACATTTAAATGATGTAGAGCAGTCTGTCTTTGTAGTTCTATCCGACATAAGATTGTTCACGATCTGATTACATTACTTGACAACAGTTTCATATGCCTTCTCTATCATTTTTCGCGATTTACCGAATTATAGCGTTGGTTCATGTACAGGCATAATCTGAAAGAACCTTATGCATTACGATCATCTCACCCTCTGACCTTGGTAATCATAACAACACTTTTGGTCTGAGGTTTTAAAATATGTCAATATTTACTTATCAGTGAACTTTTATTATAACATGTATTAACAAAAAGTAATTAACGAAATCGACCGCTGCAAACGATTGAAAAACAACTGTCACATTCCTGACTTGGTACAGGTATTTTCTTATGTAGAAAATGGTGGATTAATCCTGGTTTTATAGCTAGCTAAACCTCTCACTTGTATGACAGTCGCATAAAATTCCATTATATTGACAACAATGTGTGAACAAAACAAACGGACATAAAAGGTAAAAATGTCGAAAATAGGTGTACAGCAGTCAACATTCTGTTATAATCTTAATCACTATAAACAACAAACAAATATGTCAACAAAGAAAAACAAAAAAGGCATATAGACAAAGCACAAAAGCAAAATTGAAAGACAAAAATACAAAAATTCACTGTAGTACAGTATCACAATGACGGGAGCCACCCAAGCGATCCAAACATACCTTTATTCAATGTCTTATCTTTGTAAATTTTCCCTTTTATTTTGGTTGCAGGAGTTGATGGTCCTCTTATTTTTGAATTTGATTCCTTAATACTGGGTTTCAATTCAGTTGCTGTAAAATCTGTGTGAAATTAAGATTAAGGTATTATCTGATATGTTGAATACGCAATAAGCTCACAAAGACACATAATAGTGCACATGACAAGAAATATAATTTTGCCATACTATAGTATTGGTATATACAGAATACATTTTATAACTATATTCATCTTATAGCATTTCGTTGTAAAGTGTATTTTTGGGAACAAGAATTTAAAGACTCAAAACTAACGTGTTTTAAATTGACTATTCAACATTCTGCACTTTATTTCCACACAATCTTATCAACAAGACGTTTTATTTGTTAATCAACTAGTTTAAATGTTGGAATGTGCGTCTGGTTATCGTAACAAACTCTAGATGTTCCTAACTATGCTTAAATAAAAGATATGTCCTACCTTTGTCTTTATTTTATTGCGGTATGCGTGTACATCTGTTTGTTCATAATTGCCATTTTGTTAAACACAACATTACAGTGAACCGGTTTGGATGGTATTATAAAAGACATAACATGTGCCCATGTAAAACAAATACTAAAATTAGCAAGTCTAGGTCATGTAAGTCTTGGAAAATATAAATATCAAATTCTTAAGTTGAATTAAAAGATATACTCTGATTTTTCTGTTGTTTATCGTCAGCTGAATTTATTCCTTCACAAATCCAGTTAACGTCTTGATATTCAAAATATTCGCGTTTGTGGCTAGTTTGTAGTCATTAATTCAGAATACAAACCCTTCTTTTTTCAATTGAAACGATTCATCTTCTTCAAAAAAGATATGAGTCTAATTACCACAGTATGGCTTATATATATAATGTGATCAACAGTATACACTATTTTTGTTTGTCTGGTCGAATTCAAGATGCTCACATTTTGATTGAAAAAAATAAATTTATATTAGAAATAAGCAGATGGCCATAGTACTTGAACCGTTAGGCGATACTGTTTGAGGTTATCCTGAAGGATCGTTAAATGATCAGTAACTTATCGAACACGAAAACTGTCTTATTATGCCCATTTGCCTTTATATGGTGTCTAGTTGACATCATATGACGTGCAAAGATCCTTATATGATGTGCAAACATCCGAATACCATGTACAAACATACTTATATGATGTGTAAATATACTTATTTGACGTGCAAAGATCCTTATATGATGTGTATATATACTTATATAATGTGCAAATATACTTATATGTTGTGCAAATATACTTGTATGATGTGCAAATATCCTTATATGATGTGCATGTTTTCTTATATTATGTGCAAACATCTTTATATGCTGTCGTTGTGTCATTATATCATGTGATTGTAACACTATATAAAGTTTTTCGGATTACTTCATTATATGATGCCAAAACGTACTTATATGATGTGCTTTCATCGTTGTTTTGGTCAATTAACATGATTACGATTAGAACGATTACTCTGTACGTCATAACTGATTCCGATCTGCTTTTCCGTGCTGATCGAAAAACTTCGATTGCTAATTACCTTTCGGTTTTGGTTTCCGAAGTTTTCTATTAAAACAGAATCATGGAGCAGGTGTAAAATACGTGAGAAGATAGATTGAAATACGTATATTTTTTTATATTTTCCATAAGTTGTTAAATTATTTGGTGCTTTTATTTGTTTTTCTTTCAAAATCGATTAATACTGTATTTGCTTCCACTTTTGTTTACCTTTCCTTTCATAAAAAGTTTTCCCTCGAACTTGTGCTGAATTGTGCCAAATTTCTGATGAAATGTGTCATGGTTTATGTCACTGCATACGGAAAAGCTATCAGCGAGTAGGGGAATATAATTATTCAATAGCAGTACATCTCTGTTTTTTGGATATTATACAGGATTTTCATTCAAAAGAAAGTCTGTGTACACGTGTTTTATAGTTTTACTTAGCAATTCAAGTATATAAAACATATGCAGCTGTTTTTATTAAATTTAAAGTATCGTATGACTTTCATTTGCAAGGAAAACTTGAAAAAAAAATAACCAGCAACCAGCTAAACTAAAGGTGTTGTTTTTCTTATGTTATTATTTCCTCAATTAGATAGATGGAGATATATGTTTTTGAGATATTTTGGTTTCTCATTTACGTTTTACCCAACATCTGTTTAAGTATTTATTAGTTTGTTCGATAGAGATCCAGTTGCTTCCCTTTACTTCGTTAATTACCTGTGTTGTTGAGATCAATCGAAGCAATCCTTCTCGTATATTTTTCGTCAGTCCTCATTTCACAAGATACACTTCGAAGGTCTTTAATGTCAAATATTTTTAAGTACAGGAAAAAGGCGTAAAATCCTTCGTTTGAACAACAGGAACACTTATCAGGAAGACATGGGCCATCTTTATGAAAACACTTGTTCCCGTCAATTCTTATTCCATCTATCTGAATGGAATTTTGAAAGAAAGAGGCTGATATTGCAAACGGCTGCACAAATGCATAACATGTTAATTTCATTACATAATCTTGATCTTTTGAGTAGACTTTCGATTTAAGGTAGACGTCGGTAGACGGCATAATTCCTATAAAATTGTTGAACAATGATTATTAGATACACACATATGTTATTTAATAATAATTCTTTTAAGATTTGCATATAAGGTAATACGTGTATTGTACGTGTATGATTGATCGAGAGGGCTTCCAGTAGTGGCTCTTGGATTATTTTATTTTTCTATAGACGACGTTGATGGAACAACTTTTTATAACCTAATGTAAACAAGATGGCGGCGATAATAACACAAACCGGCTCGATGTTAGAAATCTTTATTTTACTTCACGTTCGTCGTTAAATCTAATAATAAACACAAACCATTCATTTGAATAATGATGATAAGATATTTTTGTAGTTTAATCAGATTTTCATGGAGTAAATTTTTTTGTGTTAACCAAAAATATATTCATCCGCCAGGCCAATTCAATGACACAAATTTACAATTTATGTGAGATAGAGGTTACGAGTGTGGAAATTAAATTCGTTATCTCTAATTTCAAAGAATTATAAGGGTTTAACTCCTTTTTAAAGGAATTTATTTGGTGTCTAAACTGGACCAAGTCATTCACACATATATCATTAAAGTCCTTCGGACTTTCATTTGTTTGTGAGCGAATTTGTCCAGTTTATACACCAATAAATTCCTTCAAAAGGCGTTTAATCCTATATTAAATGGCAAGGTTAATAGTATTTTCTTAAAGGATCAGAATACTGCGTTTTCAATTGACACATCCAAACAACATGCAAAATTAATTAAAGGTACATCTCGCAAAAGAAACTATGGGACAAAAATCATTAACATACATACAACGCACTTTTAAGCTTTTTTTTAAAGAGATTCTGATGCAAACTTTTAACCTTTAAAGATTTAATGTGATATTAAAAAAATCAAGAACAATGATTATGACTAGTTTGTTTTGTGTAGCGGCTAATGAAGGCATACGAGCTAACCATAATATTAACAAGAACAGCTCCAGATGCAGTGATACTAAAAGGGTAAGTAGTTCCTGTCGAAATAGTGACACTAACCGGGTAAAAGACAGGCGGATGATACCGAAGGGATATGCCACTCATAAATCGACGACAAACTGACAATGTCATGGGAAAAAACGATAATCGACTAAAAGACAAACAACAGTTAACAAAAAAACAAATAAAACTAAAGACTGAGCATCACGAACCCCACCAAACACTCGATGTGATCTCTGTTGCTCCGGAAGGGTAAGCAAATCCTACTCCACGTGTGTAACACCAAATGGTGTTAATATGCATTAATGAGTCATATTTAGTGATAATAGACCTGATCGCTGGGAATCTGCGACACTTGACATGAGAATTTGCGACACTTGAATTATTGACGTCAAAGAGGCGTCAAATAGTTTGATTGTGACGTTATAATTTTCGGGAACCTTTGTGATGTCCATTACTGGCGGACAAATAGCGATAAGGTGTATTCAGTGATGAGGCATTATGCAATAGCAGGTTGGTACATTCTCATGTCTACACAGGGAAATTTCACTCACATAAATTTCACGAGAATCTAATTTTATGTGAATCTCACGTGAAATTCACGTGAATTTCACCTCAAACGAGCTTATTTGTAAAACTCGTGTAAAATCAGCTTATGTGAGTTTCACGTGAATCTCATGTGAAACTTATGTGAATTTCATGTGAAAATCACATGAATTTTTTTTCTCGTGATTTTCATATGAATTTAAAAAATTAAGTTATTCAAACATCATCTAAATTTTCAAATTATATTAAAATCATGAAAAAAACAATTTTTTTTGTAAAGTTCATGAAAAATTCACGTGAAAAATTTAAATTTCACGTGAGTTTCATGTGAGTCTCAATTCACGTGAAGTTCAAATGTAAATTTCCACGTGAGTTTCACGTAAAAGCTCATTTGAGCACGGTAGGTATAGTGTCCGGCGGAGATCGTGTTTTTTCGAGTGAATCGGTCCACTTTTTCGAGTGTAGATCGGGTTTTTTTCGAGTGATAAAACATGCGATCAGTTCAATTTACTGCTATTTCGCATTTATAATAGTTTTATTCACTACTGTCTATCTTATTTTGACTACTATACATGTTTTGAGCACAAAAAACGCTCAATTTCGTTGTTTTTAAAATAAAATTCAGTGTTTTTGCATTGTCCGTGTTTTTTCGAGAGCAACAGTTAAAACGTTTTTCAACAAATGGTCCGGGTTTTTTTAATAAGAATAAAATGTGAATAAGAAATAAGGCATTCTTGACCTTAAAAACTGACTTTTTCTAGTTTATAACTGTAATTAAGTGAAAGACAATATTATATTTTCCCAATAATTCACAAAAAAACATATTACAATGTTGATAAAATTTAACCTTTTTCAATTTAATGACAACTTTCTATTCTGGAACATTTTACCATAACCTAGCAGTATTACGATATATACAGTCCGCCAAAAACAAAGCACCACCTATTTTTATTGCGTCGAATTTTTTTTCATTTTAAAAAAATCAGTTATCCTCGAAAAAGAGAAAACATTCAAGTAGCAATTTTGCTAACATATACCATAAACAAACCATAACTTAAGTTTTGTCACTTATGCAGGTTCTATGCATTTAAATTTTGTGTTCATAGAAATAGTGTAAATTACACAAATCAGAAACGGAATTTAAGTTTCACTGTGATTTAATTTTTTCACAACAATTAATCAGCCAATATCATTAAAATTCTCTACAAATAATCTTTGGTATGTTTGGCAAATTTAATGTCAATATTTGAGTCAATAGGATGTGTAACCACCTCTCTTCCGGTACAGTTCCATAATACGGCGTCTCAAAATCTGTACAAGCCTTCTGAACTTTAGTTGGGGAAATCTATTCCATTCATCAACAATTGCCACTCTTAAATCGCCAAGATTTTGCAAAGGTGGATCTCTGCGATTGAGATTTCTGCCAATGGCATCCCAGACATGTTCGATAGGGTTAATGTCTGAAGACATGGAAGGCCAAAAGATATTGTCAACGGCTTCTTGCTCTTTGCACTCGGTTACAATCCTTGCCCTGTGTGGTCTAGCGTTGTCGTCCATGTACAGGGTCTTGATGCAAGTGGGTGATTATCAAAATGAGGGACTACAATGTTTCTAAGCACCAAATCCCTGTATGTCTGTCCGTTCATGTTCCCCTGTAGAATATGCATACCCAGCTTACAACGGTATGAAAAGCAACCCCATACTGTAACACCACCAGCACTGAATGCAGTCGTTGGGCAAATGTTGTTTTGTTCATAGGCAGTTATATTTTCCCGGCAAACTTGTATTCTGCCGTCTACTGGTTGTAACAGAAACCGACTCTCATCTGACCAATGAATTTTTTGCCAGCTTCTCATGTTACAGTGTCGATGATCATTAGCCCATTGAAACCTGATTATACGGTTGCCTGGCTGTTAGAGCAGGTCTCTTGACAACACGGCGTGCTCTTAGGTTGCCTCTATGAAGTCGATGGACCAATGTTCGAACACTAACACGACCACCTGGAGGCCAGTGGTGTCTTAAGCTGCAGGGCAGGAGTAAATGGGTTGGCTTTAGCACGACGAATAAGCAGTCTGTCATCACGACGGGTAGTTACATGGGGTCATCCGGACCTTGGTCTATCATTTACAGTTCCTGTGTCAACATGACGTTGTAAAAGTCTGACAATGACGGTGTGATTAACATTGAAATGGTAACCTATGCTCCTAGTGCACCTACCGGCATTTGACATGCCAATTGCTTGCCAACGTTCAGCCACAGATAACTTACGCCTTGCCATATTACACAATGACTTGATGAAGATCAAATTTCACCTGTATGCGGGACAATAGGAAGATGATTTAAAGATATCGAAACAGTGTATTTGTAAAAGTGCAGATGACCTTTAATAAAAAGTTGCTTGGCGGGTTTATCGGGGTTCAATCTTTTTGGTCGTAATGAATTTTCTTAGTGTATGTTGAAGGCAATTCATAACACCAAACATAAATAATTTTTTCGCAATAGTTAAAAAAATATTGCCAGTTGTATTTAGGTGGTGCTTAACTTTTGGCGGACTGTATATAAGAAATCAATGGGTCCGCTTTAAAACGGTCTTTAGCAAAAATGAGTACAGAAGCAAGAAAACTAGAGAAAAGGAGTAAACAATCAAAGGACCCCCCCCCCCCTTTCCAAATAAAAATTAATAGATTACAATAACATTTGAATTGAATGGAATTTCGAATAAAAAATGAAAACAACACTTTCCAATTTTATGCTATATGACCAAAAGGGCCTTAAAACATAGCTAAATCCGTCTAAGGTCAACACTGGAAATATTAGATATCTCGGTGCAGTCAGGGATGTACGGAATGTTACACCGGTATTGAAAATGCAGACGACCTTCGACTGGGCCTCTGGGTGTATATAGTTTCAACACCGGTGTAAAATCATGTACACCCCTGATTACACCAAGATAGCTAATATTTTCATCAAGACAAATAGTTAATGAAACATTAAGGATATATTTTCTGTAAAAAAACACATTTACCCGCTTTACACACTATTTGTACGTACGTCTCAGTCCAACATGTCTGAGCTCACATAAACTTGGTTTACATCACTAAATATTCAATGTATGAAATCCATATCGGTACACTAATATGGAGATTTATGAATGCAAATGAAGGATGACTTTTAATGAAATGTACGTGTTAATACAGCATTATCAAACTGGTTTAATACATATTTTCGTGCTTTGAAAAGTACTTTATTTGAACCTTATCATTGTTTTTTTAAACGTAAATCAACTGACATATTACATGTTAAGCCATTGGAATTTTGTTTTTTCACTCGATAAAACAAGGACACACTCGAAATAACACGGAATGCTCTCGAAAAAAACTCAGACAAATAAAAATGAATTTACTCTCCAAAATGTCCTTTTCAATGCAAAAACAAGATTTTTTGTAAAGTGTCTGTATATCTAAGTATACATAGATCCCATGTGCACATTTCCTTTCACATTTGCATTGGTAT